GAAAATGTTGTATGAAAAATCGACATGTCTTCTCTTCATTACATATTCGAAACAAACAACACAACGCGCAAATCATATTTGCCTGACCAGCCTGTCGTGAAAATAGTGCAGTCGGCGTTTAATTTTGCAAACAAAACAATCAATATGTATATGAGCTTGTACAGAAGCTCCGCACGCCACTCACGCGACCGAAAAACAATCGCTCCTAACTCGCACACTGCGCCCGCCCGTGAACGTCTCAGACGCTCCATTCATGTATCCCCATCGCAGATGTACTCGCTCGCTCAGGAAAAACCGGATATAGCACCCGGAAACCTACGTCTTAACGGCAGAAAATAATTTCTTTCTGGAATAACAATTATTTTCATTGCGACGTACATCTCCGGGTCGGCACAGAACCAGTACCAGATAAAAAAAAAACACACCAAAAGGCGAACGCACAAAGCGACATACAAAAACACACTACCAAAAACCCACAAAAACACACCCCGCTACATACAAAAACGTAATTGTAAAACGCGCCCTAAATTTCCGCCAGTCCGAAAAACATGTAACCTATCAAACGGGACGGATATAAACTGTAAGTACGATGCTAAAAAAATGTGTGTGACCGCACTGGTAGAACGACAGCTAGACGATGAACTCACCCCGTGTACGCCACGAGTACACCGGCCCACTGGCCGCACGTGCCGCTCGTGCCAGAGAAGACAAATAATTCCCTCTATACTCCGAACCGCGGGAATATTTAAGTCTTCTTTTCACTGCATATTCGAAACAAACAACACAACGAGCAAATCACGTTTGCCCGACCAGCTTGTCGTGAAAATAGAGAAAACTCACAAAGAAAGGGCATGTAGAACACTAGGTAAAACATTTGAAATGCCAAATTTTACAAACCTAAATTTTTCGTTACAGCTAAACGTTTCTCAAGCGAATCTGCCACGTAACCGTCTTTGCTGAACTCGCTTTTCCAGCGACCGCGCCTCTTGAAACATCGGTCGTCGACTCCGTTATTAGCGGCTGTCGTCGCCCCTCCCGCTCGAAGCGAATGCAAGCCTAACTTAGCTTTACCGGAGACCAACCTCAATCTTTTGAGCATTGCCTCCTTAGCTCCTGCGTAGCTGAGTGTTTTGTTTTTCTTAATAAGCTTCCATGTTTTCTCGGAGCGATAAACTTGTTCAAACAAAAAATCTTCCGATTCCAGACTAATTCCTGCCGATTCTATGAACCTTAATAACATCGAATATGGGCAAGCGACCGTGATGTCCTTGCTTATCACTACCTCGTGGCCGAAACGATACTGGTCTGTTTTGCTCTTCCTAATGACTAACGTTCAGTATTCGCCGAATAACTTCACATCGGAACAACGTAAGCTACTAAGCTCGTTAAAACGTAAAAACCCAGAGAAACAAATGAAAAGCATTGACAAATCTCGTACTATCAACAAGTCGTTTGATTTAGAATATGTCCCACACAAATTAATAAGCATGTCACTGGTAACCGGTTCCTTCTTACATGTCGGCTTCCTGGCAACACGTTTGGATGATTAGTCGTAGGGTCCGGGTGACCGTTGATATTGTGCGCCCATTTGATGACACTGTAGAAAATGTGGATCCGTTATCTAACAAATAGTTCAAATACACCGCTACGTGAATCGGTGATGCAGGAAGGGCTGAAAAACCATGAGCCGAAATAATCTGCTCCCACCTTCTGAACGCGCCATACTACTTTGAGTTTGTGCTTATACTCTTACTCTGTAACAGCCTACCAGCCATACCCTCCGCCATCTGGTGCAGAGGGAACCTTCCGCGATGCCCGATGCCTCCAGTGCGTCGTCTATCGACTTCTTCAAACCAATGCCTTCCTCGATAGAAACTCTGGTGGCATCGCCGTCCGTAGTCGCGGTGTTAGCAGCCTCCTATTTTAGCCTGCACTTTCCCGTTGAACTTATGCTTGTAGGTGTCAGTGTTTAGGATAGTTTGCTGTATTTTCTCAGAATTATCATTCATCTTCTTTTCAAAGGAATTCAATTTTAAAGAAATTTAATTGTCCAAGTGAGATAGCATCTCGTTTTGCGAGGTACTAAGCGCACTTTGTACTTGAGCTGAAACCTTCGCACACACCTGAGTACGAATATCTTCCTTCATTTTGTGTGACCGCACTGGTAGAACGACAGCTAGAGAATGAACTCACCCCGTGTACGCAACGAGTACACTGGCCCACTGGCCGCACGTGCCGCTCGTGCCAAATAATTCCCTCTATACTCCGAACCGCGGGAATATTTAAATCTTAACATTCCATGTCAAAGAGTAAGTGTTACCAACCAATATAGTAATGACCTTCTTACCGTTTGTCAACTTCTGTATAAGTACATTTACATAGATCCCTGTTTGTTACTTATGTGAAGGCGAATCGTACCTTGATCCTGAGCCCGATATTGTCTGACTAGCACCAGACCGGAAATAACTATATAGTGATACTTAACAAGTAAACCAACAGAGATATCTTCATTGGACCATGACTGCCATGACGAGCTGCTATTTTATAATCTAAATATGTATTTTAAACAATTTGACCAGGATTCATTACTATTAAAAGTATCTGATTTGATGTGAGCATGAGCGAAACACGCATGTGATAATTTTGTCTGCCAATGTACAATAGGCTCAACATGACCCTATTTGGGGCGTCTGGAGTTGTGACATTGAACCTATAGGAACGGATATAAGACTTTATCATTGAAATTAACTCCCCTTTCGTTTGGTTATCATCAACATAAAGTCCGGTGAAAAGGCGTGCTATATTTGTAACGAGGATGTTAGTTACAAACACCTTCGTGTCACATACAGACAATAAGGTCTACATTTTCATGACGTCACGAACTAAACGAGACGATCTGTGATGGTGTCCTTCTCTTACGATATATAAGGCCGTTTGGATAAGTCATAGGATTTGCTCTACGAAATACCGGGTTAAATGATCAAAATGAAAAATAACTTCACATAGTGATCAATAATCAGGCCTGTATTGTGTTGGAACCACCAATATGCCCCCAAACACAATGACCCAAATACATTATATAGGTTATTAATTGGATTCCATGCGCAGAACTAGTTTGATTTACGACACTGTGGCGAATCCGGGTCAGTGCACATGATTAGCTCATCTCTTCAGTATTTTATCATCTTTTCAAGTAGTGAAATGGTTGTCGTGTATATTGTGGTGATCTAGCGACTCCACCCAGACTCCAATAGACATGAAATCGTTGGATTTGCATAAACAATAGCATGATGAACAAAAAACCCTTCACTGGTCACACACTATCGGACTATTTGACAAAGTTCCGGGACATCTTTTTATGGTTAATACTCTCCATGATCCATCACACTTTTGCGATGAACGTTTTCCCAGCATTGACCTCAACCGACTATATATACAAATTGTATTCCTCCATTGCTAGAAACATTATGGTGCCTTTTGGCTTCTATCAATTATAAAACAAACCAACATGATTATTTTTCACCTTGTGGTTGACTGGATTGGACGGAAGTGTGCAGGACCTGCACATTAAAAACACTTAAGTTGTCTGTGACTCATCGATGAAGTGCCAATTACCAAACCTGCTTGAATTACAAGCGTTTAATCAAAATAATTCATATATTTTGCTGTTCGATATTTATTCATCATGGGTGTGAATATTTAACTGCATCAGATATTTCATACTATTCTATTATTTAACGATCCGCAGGTGCAGGAGCTTTAATCGGCGTTTATTACCCAATAACTGAATCGGCGTTTATTACCCAATAACTGAATGTTTAAATCACCATTTCACTTGATCCACTAGATCGATCTTGTCCCGACAAACTTTACCATTCGTGCAAACCTACATGAAGGTTGGTTGTTCATCCATCTGCCGTTAGTTATTGATATCCTCTGTGTAAACGCCAAAGGTGAACCAACTTCAAAGTGATTAAAATACCGGGCTAGTTCCCCAAATATTTCGTAGTCATGATGCTCTGAATTGATCTTTGAATAATCAGAGGTTATCCCCCCCAAGTAAAAGTATTGGCTGTCACGCTATCGCAGGATCAAATATGGAAATAAAAGACACATATTATTTTGCAAAGCTTTTCTCTCACGGAAGGTATACTACTGTAGCGGAACTGGAGTGGGTCGATCGTCGGGATCGTCGGTGACCAGAAAGCTCAATTGGTAGAGCATCCGTCTAGAGTTCGGTGGGTCTTGGGATTGAACCCCGGTCTGGCCGTGCATTTTTCCTTTCCTGTTATATTTGGCTCCCAACAAAATGTACCAACATAAAGTGGTATAGCGTTTCGTGTTCCTTCGGGGTCACAAACTTTGTTCAAAGAGGGAGGAATTTAGCGGAACTGGAATGCGTCGATCGTCGGCAACCAGATAACTCAATTGGTAGAGCATCCGTCTAGAGTTCGGAGGGTCCCGAGTTCGAACCCCGGTCTGGCCATGCATTTTCTTTTCCTGTTCCACTACATTGCATCATTGAATATTGCTTTAAACAATACTCTATTAAGGTATATATAGAATTTACACTACATCAGCCCTGATACCTGTAACAACATACAAGCAATGCGGAATCAGAAAACATATACAACATGAGCATTATGTCTTCGTACAGCATTTCGTAAAATTGCACACATACATTGAAATATGTATACATTTGTACGAAGAATGAGAATGGTAAGAAGTCACATTCTATCGTGGAATTGAAGAATTTTAAAAAGAGCAGATTTGCTGATATTCTGTGAGAGATATACTAGATTCAACAGATGGCAGGTGCCCCGAGTTGTGCACGACGACCTTATAGTATTGTTAGGTCATTAAGACTACCACTTATGTCTATATGACCTCCTACGAGTGTTGTCAGACTTCCGTGTGTTCTTGTATGACTTAATCCTTGTTAATATTTAATTTTTGTAACGTTATTGTTGACACATATTTTCTGCGTTCTGTCTTTTCAGATCATTAAGATGATGATAACGGTTGTTGTTATTTATGCGATTTGCTGGCTACCCCTGCACGTACTGAACATCGCAGGAGATGTGGATCCCAGCGTATACGATATCAAAGGCATGAACTACATATGGATGACGTCACACTGGCTCGCTATGAGTAACTGCATGTATAATCCATTCATATATTGTTGGATGAATGCCAAATTCCGCAATGGATTCCTGAAAGTGTTAAATTGCTTTACGTGTGGATTGGTGAATGTGACTGACGAAATAGAACTGCAACGAATGAGGCGACAGGACACATTGACAGTAACCACTTCCGTCTCTGTCAACGGAAGTTTAAGGAGGTTCAATTCGTCAAAACGAAAGGAGGCAGCGACATATAACACAGAGTATACATCTATTGCTGAAAAACGTTAGTGTATGGAGTGTGACATTGAATTCAAGCGTTGTGTGTACAGAGAAACGTATCAACCATGTATCAATATCTATAAAGCGGTTTTACTTATTTACTCGAATATCTCAGAATTGGTCTCACAGTGGCTTTTGAGATAATTGAACGTTACAAATGTGTTGGAAACCAAATATATATGGTCGGTTGATTAGTTACGGACAACATTACACATAATTACAATGTTATTTGGTGAAAACAGCCGTGTCGTACATTCAAATATGAGTAATATGACCCATTGTGACGACATTAAATCCAAATGAAATGACGTCAAAAGTTTCAATGAAAGAAACGAAAGGAAGTCAAGATTGCGGAATTATATACCGGAAAAAAATACTGGAAAAGGTTGTTTCTTTAATTGCAAGAATTCTTGATTATGTAATAAAATTGGGCTTCAGATTTGTTTCCATTTCAAACTAGATTTTTTAAATCCATCACGAATGTTTCCTTCCAGCTCTCTAGAGTCTTGTTTAAATGGAGAGAAAAAAATCCACACGTTTCAAAAATCTGAAATGATTCTATATGTATAATGTATATATAGTGTATTTCTGCCTTCCATTTTAATGTGCATAAAAGAGAAATCGAGCATTTTACATTTATTTGTAAAGTCCTCTCATATGTCAGATTAATCTATTTAGCTCTTAGCAGGAACACTTACGAAAGACGGGTAAGAATCTAAGATATCTCTCAAACATGAAATTCGATGTTGATTTCTTGTTTTGTATAAACGATGGATACCAGTATGTTAATGCGGAAAACAGTCCGTACATTTTGTACAGTCATGCTTGAATATAAACAAATTATATATTCTGGGAAATTATATATCATGTTTAATGAAATAAATTAATTAAATATTCATCTTTTGCTTTCACCATTTTCTGTGTTATAGCATAATTCAGACAGCTTTCGTTAAACAGCCTTCTATCTCTCCATCTCTCCGTGTGTTATTCATTCAATAGGAATGTTAGATAAACATGTTCAGCCAAGAGATTACTGCTGGTCGACAAGAAGGTAGCATTCCTCACACAGTATTTATAAGAATAACGAGATTATCAGCCCGTTAACGTTTGAATGTTCCCCGAGTCCAGTATCAATAGTGTTGCCATTCCCATTTTGTGACAAAGCAAAATAAAGCCAGTCTTAGAGTGTTTGACTAAAACTGCAGCGTTAAGTACAGTCAGGAAAACAGTTACACGATTGTCCTAAGAAGTCATCTTTCGATTTGTCGGCGTTGGACGGTGAAAAGCAGGAGTTACGTGCGATCAAAGCTTCGTACGTTAGGATATACCCTATACGGATCAAGTTATTAACCTACTAATTCTGTTCTCTGCCTGTACGATATCAAAAATCTTTTTCTTGATTTTCCTTTTTTGCATTTTTTTTGAAAAATTAACGATGCACATCAGCATGCTATGGACATTACTATAGTGGCGTAACAGGAAATCAATTCCAATACGATCTACATTTAATTGACATCAACTTTCGATAACGACCTCTTGGAATTTCAAATTCCTTCAATATATTCTCTTTCACAATTAACTTTACAACTAAAACTTCTACGTAAAATTATATGCTAATTTTGACGTTGATTTCATTTTTTACACTCTGTTCGAAAAATCACAGTAATTTCTTGCTATAAAAATGTGGTAAATGGAATCTTTACAAATCAAAAGAATGTCTAGGGTTCCATTTTTGTCTCGCCGCCACGAAGAAGCGGAAGCGAGACTAAGGTGTTGCTTTTATGGCGACGGCGGCGGCGTCTGCGTATAAGTTAGTTTCACTGAAAGTATAAGTGCTAGACCAACCAAACTTGGACCATAAATGCAGCTTAGGTAGTTCATTTCAACCCATGTATGAAATTACAGGATGCGGCCTACATGTAACTTTCCTGGTCCATTAACTTTGGCAGCATCTCCATATTTTTTTTATTTTTTTTCGTTTAAGTTAGTTTCCTGATATGTGCATTAATGGTCGCACAGGCGAGACATATCAATCCGAATGTCTTTTTACCTATTTCCTACAAAAAGTACAATTCTGTTTTGTTATTTATAACTGAGCACTTGTTTTGACATAATTTTGATCTGTTTTAATTGTTACGATATCTTAAATACAGTGTTTTGCCTTTTTTCTATAAACATGGTACTTAGAAATGCATGCTTAACGACAAACCCGATTCATCATTTCACGCAGTTTGATTAAAAACAGAATCCACGTATTAACGAAACATAAGCCAAAATACAATACCTTTTATTCAATTGTATTGAAGGACAATTGTCCTTCTATATTGAAACAAAAGTTTCTATGAGCATTCAAACTAAGAAAATTGAATCACCGCTTAGTTCTGCAACAGTATTTTATGCTTTCGTTAAAGTTTCTAGATATATTCTGCATATATAGCGTTATTTCCTAATTGAATACCTATATAATACCTATATAATACCTATATAATACTATATAATACCTATATAATACCTATATAATACCATATTTCTTGAAATACAAACTGCATCCTGCTGATTTACAATAAAGCGTAACCTGAGCTTAATCAATTCTGCTTAGTTGTTACCTAATCTGATATAAGTTATATGTTAAGTATGACTGAAAAAGATATTATGTCATTAAGAAATAAATAAAGCTTACACTAATTTTAATCGCCGAATCAATTTTCAAACATGAGTGACAAGCCAAGGTAGTGAATGGAAAGGATTCTTCAGCACTCACAACTGAAGTCCATCATACACCGCTAAGTGGTGTACATATCTACCCCGTCACCGGGAGTGTGTAATCCAATACTAATGTGGTAGCGTCATGTAATGTACCATATCTATTGTGATAACCTGTTATGTCTTATAGAATTATTAAACTGCTACGAAACACTGTATTTGTTTAGCTTCCAACAGCCCGAAGGAATCATTCCCACTTCTGTGTAACTGCTATATTTTAAATGACAACCTGTGTTGACGGTGTGTTATAACATCTGCTGTGTTTAAATGACAACCAGATTTGGCGGTGTGGTTTACCATATGCTGTGTTTTAAATGCCCATCTGCTATGTTTAAATGACAACCTGATTTGATGGTGAAGTATACCATCTGCTGTGTTCAAATGACAACCTGATTTGACGGTGAACTATACCATCTGCTGTGTTTAAATGACGACCTGATTTGGCGGTGTGGTTTACCATATGCTGTGTTTTAAATGACCATCTGCTGTGTTTAAATGACAATCTGATTTGAAAGTGTGGTATACCATATGTTGTGTTTTAAATGACAACCTGCTTTGAGGGTGAAGTATACCATCTGCTATGTTTAAATGACAACCTGTTTTGATGGTGCGGTATACCATCTGCTGTGTTTAAATGGCAACCTGATTTGACGGTGAAGTATACTATCTGCTGTGTTTAAATGACAACCTTATTTGACGGTGCGATATACCATCTGCTGTGTTTTAAATGACAAACTGTTTTGACGGAGAAGTATACCATCTGCTGTGTTTAAATGACAATCTGATTTGGCGGTGTGGTTTACCATATGCTGTGTTTTAAATGCCCATCTGCTATGTTTAAATGACAACCTGATTTGACGCTGAAGTACACCATCTGCTGTGTTTAAATGATAACCTGGTTTGACGATGTGGTATACCATCTGATGAGTTTAAATGACATGACGGTGTGGTATACCATCTGCTGTTTTAAATGACCATCTGCTGTGTTTTAATGACAACATGAGTTGACGGTGTGGTACACCATCTGCTGTGCTTAAATGACAACCTGATTTGACGATGTGGTCTACCATCTGATGTGTTTAAATGACATGACGGTGTGGTATACCATCTGCTGTGTTTTAAATGACCATCTGCTATGTTTAAATGACAACCTGATTTGGCGGTGTGGTATACCATCTGATGTGTTTAAATTACAACCTGATTTGACGGTGAAGTATAACATCTGCTGTGTTTAAATGACAACCCGATTTGGCGGTGTGGTTTACCATATGCTGTGTTTTAAATGACCATCTGCTGTGTTTTAATGACATCCTGATTTGACGGTGTGGTACACCATCTGCTGTGTTTAAATGACAAACTGGTTTGACGATTTGGTATACCATCTGATGTGTTTAAATGACATGACGGTGTGGTATACCATCTGCTGTGTTTAAATGTCAACCTGATTTGACGGTGAAGTATACCAACTGCTGTGTTTAAATGACAACCTGACTTGACGGTGAAGTATACCATCTGCTTTGTTTAAATGACAACCTGATTTGGCGGTGTGGTATACCATCTGATGTGTTTAAATTACAACCTGATTTGACGGTGAAGTATGCCATCTGCTGTGTTTAAATGACAACCAGATTTGGCGGTGTGGTTTACCATATGCTGTGTTTTAAATGCCCATCTGCTATGTTTAAATGACAACCTGTTTTGATGGTGCGGTATACCATCTGCTGTGTTTAAATAACAACCTGATTTGACGGTGAAGTATCCCATCTGCTGTGTTTAAATGACAACCAGATTTGGCGGTGTGGTTTACCATATGCTGTGTTTTAAATGCCCATCTGCTATGTTTAAATGACAACCTGATTTGACAGTGTGGTATACCATATGTTGTGTTTTAAATGACAACCTGCTTTGAGGGTGAAGTATACCATCTGCTATGTTTAAATTACAACCTGTGTTGATGAAGTGGTATACCATCTGCTGTGTTTTAAATGATCATCTACTGTGTTTAAATAACAACCTGATTTGACGGTGAAGTATTCCATCTGCTGTGTTTAAATGACAACCAGATTTGGCGGTGTGGTTTACCATATGCTGTGTTTTAAATGCCCATCTGCTATGTTTAAATGACAACCTGTTTTGATGGTGCGGTATACCATCTGTTGTGTTTTAAATGATCATCTGCTGTGTTTAAATAACAACCTGATTTGACGGTGAAGTATAACATCTGCTGTGTTTAAATGACAACCTGTGTTGACGGTGTGGTATACCATCTGCTGTGTTTTAAATGACCATCTGCTGTGTTTTAATGACAACCTGATTTGACGGTGTGGTACACCATCTGCTGTGTTTAAATGACAACCTGGTTTGACGATGTGGTATACCATCTGATGTGTTTAAATGACAACCTGATTTGGCGGTGTGGTATTCCATGGCCATCTGCTGTGTTTTAAATGTCCATCTGCTATGTTTAAATGACAACCTGTGGTGAAGATGTGGTATAACATCTGCTGTGTTCAAATGACAACCTGTGTTGACGGTGTGGTATCACTTCTGCTGTGTTTAAATGACAACCTGATTTTGTCGGTGTGGTATACCATCTGATGTGTTTAAATGACATGACGGTGTGGTATACCATCTGCTGTGTTTCAAATGACCATCTGCTGTGTTTAAATGACAACTTGATTTGGCGGTGTGGTTTACCATCTGCTGTGTTTTAAATGACCAACTGCTATGTTTAAATGACAACCTGATTTGGCGGTGTGGTATTCCATGGCCATCTGCTGTGTTTTAAATGACATCCTGTTTTGACGGACAAATCAACCATCTGCTGTGTTTAAATGACAATCTGTTTTGACTGTGTGGTATACCATCTGCTGTGTATAAATGACAACCTGTGTTGACGGTGTGTTATACCATCTGCTGTGTTTAAATAAAAACCTGGGTTGACGGTATGGTATAACATCTGCTATGTTTAAATGACAACCTGATTTGGCGGTGTGGTTTACCATATGCTGTGTCTTAAATGACCATCTGCTATGTCAAAAAGACAACCTGATTTGACGGTGAAGTATACCACCTGCTGTGTTTAAATGACAACCTGGTTTGGCGGTGTGGTTTACCATATGCT